ACCGAGACCAGATCGGGACAGACCGGGACCAGAGCGGGACTGAGACCGGAGACCAGCGGTCTGACCGGTTCCGTGTCATCGTCTCCGCGCTGGTTCCGTGCGGGGAAAGTGAGAATGTTTTTGTGGACTACAGGTACGGACGGGCTGCTCCAGTCCTCCGCGCTCAAGAACCGCGGCTGGTTCTGAGGTGGTGCAAAGCATCAAACTGACGCTTTCACACCAACGAAAACGAACCGAATTAAGAGCTTTTGGTTCAAATGGACCAGGTCCGGGACCAGACCGGGACCAGAGCGGGCCTGAGACAGAGACAAGACCGAGACAAGACCGAGACCAGAGCGGAGGCTCAGAGCCCACGGCAGGGCCGGAGCTTGGACCCGCGGGAGGCCAGAGTCAAAGGAGTCCGCCCCAGCTGCTCTGGTCCCGCTCTAGTCCCGGTCTGGTCTCGGACCTGGATCAGTTCCTAATTCAGTCCGTACCCGGTGCAAAAGTCCGGCAATCGCAGTCATGGAAGTCACGTAAACGGGAAACGCTGTTATCCATTTTTCATTCTTCATTTAAACACAAAATCGAAAACTGAAAAAACGAATCGTTATCCATTTTTCATTTTGGTTTTGGAGACAAATAACGAAGAAAACTGTGTTTTTTTCGTTTTCTTTTTTTGGTTTTATATTGAAAAACAAATGAACGAATGATACACGGATTCGAGACCAAGACCGAGACCAAGACCGAGACCAAGACCAAGACCAGGACCGAGACCAAGACCGAGACCAAGACCGAGACCTGATCCTAGTCCTGATTTAGATCTGGTTTAGATCTGGTTTAGACCTGGTTTAGTCCTGGTTTATCTGGTTTAGTCTGGTTTAGTCCTGGTTTAGTCCTGGTTTAGATCTGGTTTAGATCTGGTTTAGTCCTGGTTTAGTCCCTGGTTTAGTCCTGGTTTAGTCCTGGTTTAGTCCTGGTTTAGTTCTGGTTTAGTCCTGGTTTAGTCCTGGTTTAGTCCTGGTTTAGTCCTGGTTTAGTCTGGTTTAGACCTGGTTTAGTCCCTGGTTTAGATCTGGTTTAGACCTGGTTTAGTCCTGGTTTAGTCCTGGTTTTGGTTTAGATCTGGTTTGATCTGGTTTAGTCCTGGTTTAGTCCTGGTTTAGATCTGGTTTAGATCTGGTTTAGACCTGGTTTAGTCCTGGTTTAGTCCTGGTTTATCTGGTTTAGTCCTGGTTTAGTCTGGTTTAGTCCTGGTTTAGATCTGGTTTAGTTCCTGGTTTAGTCCTGGTTTATCTGGTTTAGTCCCTGGTTTAGTCCTGGTTTAGTCCTGGTTTAGCTGGTTCTGGTTTAGATCTGGTTTAGTCCTGGTTTAGTCCTGGTTCAGTTCTTGGACTCTCTGGGTTCAGTTTGAGGTCGTTTCCTTTTTGAAATATTTTGTTGATTCTACAGAAAAATGTGACAAAGAAAAAAAACGCAAAGTCACCGTGACCGAGTCCGAGTCCCACAAAACCGGTTTAGACCTGGACTAATCCTGGTCTCAGTCTCAGTCCTGGTATAGACCTGGTTTAGACCAGGTTTAGTCCTGATTTAGACCTACTTTAATCCTGGTCCAGTCTTGGTCCTTTCCCAGTCCGACCCCAGTCCGTTCCAGTCCTGGTCCGGGTCTGGGTCTCAGTCCAGTCTCGGTCCGGGTCTCGGTTTCAGTCCTGGTCCAAGTCCGGGTCTCGGTCCTGGTCCCGGTCTGGGTCTCAGTCCCGGTCTCAGTCCGGGTCCCAGTCTCGGTCCCAGTCTCGGTCCGAGTCTCAGTCTGGGTCTCGGTCCCGGGTCCCGGTCTCAGTCCCGGGTCCCGGTCTCAGTCTGGGTCTCAGTCTCAGTCTAGGTCCCGGTCTCAGTCTGGGTCTCGGTCTCAGTCCCGGGTCTCAGTCTCAGTCTAGGTCCCGGTCTCAGTCTGGGTCTCAGTCCCGGGTCCCGGTCTGGGTCTCGGTCCTGGGTTTCGGTCCTGGGTTTCGGTCCTGGGTTTCGGTCCCGGGTCTCAGTCTCAGTCTCAGTCTCGGTCCCGGTCCCGGGTCCCGGTCTCAGTCTGGGTCTCGGTCCTGGGTTTCGGTCCCGGGTTTCGGTCCCGGGTTTCGGTCCGGGTCTCAGTCTCAGTCTCGGTCTCAGTCTCGGTCTCGGTCCAGGTCCTAGTCCCAGTCCGGGTCCGGGTCTCACCTCCATCTCGTCTTGTGCGATGCTGCAGGCGGCGCCGAGTCCGACGGCGAGCGGCGTCGGGACCGTCCCCGACCTGAGTCCTCGCTCCTGCCCCCCCCCACTCTGCAACGGCTCCAGACGCACACGAGGACGACGACGCACAAAGAGAGCGCCCACACCTGAACGCACAACATGACACACAACAATGAGACACACAAAGAGAGCACCCACACCTGAACGCACAACACACAACACAACAATGAGACACACAAAGAGAGCGCCCACACCTGGACGCACAACATGACACACAACAATGAGACACACAAAGAGAGCGCCCACACCTGGACGCACAACATGACACACAACAATGAGACGCACAAAGAGAGCGCCCACACCTGAACGCACAACACACAACACAACAATGAGACGCACAAAGAGAGCGCCCACACCTGAACGCACAACACACAACACAACAATGAGACACACAAAGAGAGCGCCCACACCTGGACGCACAACATGACACACAACAATGAGACACACAAAGAGAGCCCACACCGAACGCCACACACCTGAACGCACAACATGACACACAACAATGAGACACACAAAGAGAGCGCCCACACCTGGACGCACAACACACAACACAACAATGAGACACACAAAGAGAGCGCCCACACCTGGACGCACAACATGACACACAACAATGAGACGCACAACACAACAATGAGACGCACAACACAACAATGAGACGCACACACTGGACCAGGTCAGATCCTCCTCCACCCGACAAAGTGGCTGAGAAATCCCGGTCTCTCGGTCTCGGTCTCGGTCTCTCGGTCCCGGTCTCTCAGTCTCGGTCTCTCAGTCCAGGTCTCGGTCTCTCTCGGTCTCTCAGTCCCGGTCTCGGTCTCTCAGTCCCGGTCTCGGTCTCTCGGTCCCGGTCTCGGTCTCTCAGTCCAGGTCTCGGTCTCTCGGTCCAGGTCTCGGTCTCTCAGTCCCGGTCTCTCGGTCCCGGTCTCTCAGTCCCGGTCTCTCAGTCCCGGTCTCTCAGGTCCCGGTCTCTCAGTCCCGGTCTCGGTCCCGGTCTCTCAGTCCCGGTCTCGGTCCCGGTCTCGGTCCCAGTCCGGTCTCTCAGTCCCGGTCTCTCAGTCCCGGTCTTGGTCTCTCAGTCCCAGTCTCGGTCTCTCAGTCCCGGTCTCTCGGTCCAGGTCTCGGTCTCTCAGTCCCGGTCTCGGTCCCGGTCTCTCGGTCCAGGTCTCGGTCTCTCAGTCCCGGTCTCTCGGTCCAGGTCTCGGTCTCTCAGTCCCGGTCTCGGTCCCGGTCTCTCAGTCCCAGTCTCGGTCTCTCAGTCCCGGTCTCTCGGTCCAGGTCTCGGTCTCTCAGTCCTGGTCTCGGTCCCGGTCTCTCGGTCCAGGTCTCGGTCTCTCAGTCCCGGTCTTGGTCCGGTCTGGTCTCGGTCTCTCTCCCGGTCTCGTCAGTCTCGGTCTCAGTCTCGGTCTCGGTCTCGGTCTCTCAGTCTCGGTCTCTCAGTCTCGGTCTCTCAGTCCCGGTCTCGGTCTCTCAGTCCCGGTCTCGGTCCCGGTCTCTCGGTCCCGGTCTCTCGGTCCCGGTCTCGGTCTCTCGGTCTCGGTCTCGGTCTCTCAGTCTCGGTCTCTCGGTCCCGGTCTCGGTCTCTCTCGGTCTCTCGGTCTCGGTCTCACCCTTGGGGCCGTAGATCTTGTGGCCGCTGATCGACATCAGGTCGATGTTGTTTTCTGTCACGTTCAGCGGAATTTTCCCCACGGCCTGAGCCCCGTCTGTGTGAAAGAACACACCACGACCCCGACACACACGACCTGCAACACACAACACACACATGACCCCGACACACACGACCTGCAACACACCACGACCCCGACACACACGACCTGCAACACACAACACACACATGACCCCGACACACACGACCTGTAACACACAACACACACATGACCCGACACACACACGACCTACAACACACAACACACCATGACCCCGACACACACGACCTGCAACACACAAACACACACTGACCCCGACACACACGACCTACAACACACAACACACCACGACCCCGACACACACGACCTAACACACAACACACACATGACCCCGACACACACGACCTACAACACACAACACACACACGACCCCGACACACACGACACACACACACACGACCCCGACACACACGACCTACAACACACACACACACACGACCACACACAACACACAACACACACACCGACACACACGACCTGTAACACACAACACACACATGACACCCGACACACACACGACCTACAACACACAACACACCACGACCCGACACACACGACCTGTAACACACAACACACACACATGACCCCGACACACACGACCTACAACACACAAACACACCACGACCCGACACACACGACCTGCAACACACAACACACAACACACACATGACCCCGACACACACGACCTGTAAACACACAACACACACATGACCCCGACACACACGACCTGCAACACACAACAACACACATGACCCCGACACACACGACAACACACCACGACCCCGACACACACGACCTGTAACAACACACAACACACACATGACCCCGACACACACGACCTACAACACACAACACACCACACGACCACACGACCACACACCACACACACGACACACACGACCTGTAACACACAACACACACAGGACCCCGACACACACGACCTACAACACACAACACACCACGACCCCGACACACACGACCTGCAACACACAACACACACATGACCCCGACACACACACCCACGACCCCGACACACACGACCTGTAACACACAACACACCCACGACCCCGACACACACGACCTGCAACACACAACACACACATGACCCCGACACACACGACCTACAACACACAACACACCACGACCCCGACACACACACGACCTACAACACACAACACACCACGACCCCGACACACACGACCTGCAACACACAACACACACATGACCCCGACACACACGACCTACAACACACAACACACCACGACCCCGACACACACGACCTGCAACACACACATGACCCGACACACACGACCTGCAACACACAAACACACATGACCCCGACACACACACGACCTGCAACACACAACACACACATGACCCCGACACACACGACCTGCAACACACAACACACACATGACCCCGACACACACGACCTACAACACACAACACACCACGACCCCGACACACACGACCTGCACACACACACACACACACATGACCCACGACACACACACGACCTACAACACACAACACACACACACGACCCCGACACACACGACCTGCAACACACAACACACACATGACCCCGACACACACGACCTACACACACGAACACACACACACCCGACGACACCCTGCAACACACAACACACACATGACCCCGACACACACGACCTACAACACACAACACACCACGACCCCGACACACACGACCTGCAACACACAACACACACATGACCACCCCGACACACACGACCTACAACACACACACACACACGACCCCGACACACACGACCTACAACACACAACACACCACGACGACCCGACACACACGACCTGCAACACACAACACACACATGACCCCGACACACACGACCTACAACAACACACAACACACACACGACCCCGACACACACGACCTACAACACACAACACACACGACCCACGACACACACGACCTGCAACACACACAACACACACATGACACCCGACCCCGACACACACGACCTACAACACAACACACCACGACCCCGACACACACGACCTGCAACACACAACACACACATGACCCGACACACACACGACCTACAAACACAACACACACACGACCCCGACACACACGACTGCACACACAACACACACACACATGACCCCGACACACACGACCTGCACACACAAACACACACATGACCCCGACACACACGACCTGCAACACACAACACACACATGACCCCGACACACACGACCTACAACACACAACACACCACGACCCCGACGACACCACACGACCTGCAACACACAACACAACACATGACCCCGACACACACGACCCACACACACACACACACCACGACCCCGACACACGACACACACGACCTGCAACACACAACACACACATGACCCCGACACACACACGACCTACAACACACAACACACCACGACCCGACCCACGACACACACACGACCTGCAACACACAACACACACATGACCCCGACACACACACCACGACCCCGACACACACACCACGACCCCGACACACACGACCTGCAAACACACAACACACACATGACCCCGACACACACACCACGACCCCGACACACACACGACCTGTAACACACAAACACAACACACACATGACCCCGACACACACGACCTGTAACACACAACACACCACGACCCCGACACACACGACCTGCAAACACACAACACACACACGACCCCGACACACACGACCTGCAACACACACACACAACACACACCACGACCCCGACACACACGACCTACAAACACACAACACACCACGACCCCGACACACACGACCTACAACACACAAACACACCACGACCCCGACACACACGACCTGCAACACACAACACACACATGACCCCGACACACACACCACGACCCCGACACACACGACCTGCAACACACAACACACACATGACCCTGACACACACACCACGACCCCGACACACACAACCTGCAACACACAACACACAACACACATGACCCCGAACACACACGACCTGCAACACACAACACACACATGACCCCGACACACACGACCTACACACACACAACGACCCCGACACACACACAACCTGCAACACACAACGCACACATGACCCCGACACACACGACCTGCAACACACAACACACACATGACCCGACACACACACCACGACCCCGACACACACGACCTGCACACAACACACAACACACACATGACCCCGACACACACACCACGACTCCGACACACACGACCTGTAACACACAACACACACATGACCCCGACACACACGACCTGTAACACACAACACACCACGACCCCGACACACACGACCTGTAACACACAACACACACATGACCCCGACACACACGACCTACAACACACAACGACCCCGACACACACAACCTGCAACACACAACGCACACATGACCCCGACACACACGACCTGCAACACACAACACACACATGACCCCGACACACACACCACGACCCCGACACACACGACCTGCAACACACAACACACAACACACACATGACCCCGACACACACACCACGACTCCGACACACACGACCTGTAACACACAACACACACATGACCCCGACACACACGACCTGTAACACACAACACACCACGACCCCGACACACACGACCTGTAACACACAACACACAACACACACATGACCCCGACACACATGACCTGTAACACACAACACACACATAACCCCGACACACACACCACGACCCCGACACACGACCTGCAACACACAACACACACATGACCCCGACACACACGACCTGTAACACACAACACACACATGACCCCGACACACAACACACACATGACCCCGACACACACGACCTGCAACACACGACCTGCAACACACGACACACAACACACACATGACCCCGACACACGACCTGCAACACACGACACACACATGACCCCGACACACACACCACGACCCCGACACACACATGACCCCGACACACACGACCTGTAACACACGACACACACGACCTGCAACACACGACACACACATGACCCCGACACACACACCACGACCCCGACACACACGACCTGCAACACACGACACACACATGACCCCGACACACACCCCGACACACATGACCTGCAACACATCGATCTCTCTGATTGGCCCGTTTCACACATCGATCTCTCCGATTGGCCCGTTTCACTCACCGATCTCTCCGATTGGCCCGTTTCACTCACCGATCTCTCCGATTGGCCCGTTTCACTCACCGATCTCTCCGATTGGCCCGTTTCACTCACCGATCTCTCCGATTGGCCCGTTTCACTCACCGATCTCTCTGATTGGCTGCTTGACTCCGATCTCGTTGTTCACCGTCATGATGGAGACGAGAGATGTGTCCGGACGAATCGACCTCTCCAGCAGCTACGACACGAAGAAGTAGTACTATTAGTAGTAGTATTAGTAGTAGTAGTATTGGTAGTAGTACTTGTAGTACTCGCAGTACTCGTACCTCCAGGTCCACAAGGCCGTTGCTCTGCACGGGGAGGTAGGTGACGCTGAAACCCTCGGACTCTAGGACCCTGCAGGAGTCCAGCACACACTTATGCTCCGTCTGCGTCGTGATCACGTGACGCCGCTTCTGCCCGTAGAACCGCGCCACGCCCTGAAATACACACAAAAGTACTGCGAAAATACTGCAAAAGTACTGCAAAAATACACAGGACGCCATTTCTGCCCGTAGAACCTCGCCACGCCCTGAAATACACACAAAAGTACTGCGAAAATACTGCGAAAATATACACAAGAGTACTGCCCGTAGAACCGCGCCATGGCCTCAAACACGCCAGAGTACTACAAATGTACTGCAAATGTACACGAGTACTTCGAATACACATGAGAGTGTGAATATACTGCAGATATACCCCAGAGTACTGCATATATACCCCAGAGAACTGCATATATATCCCACAGTACTGAATATACACCCCAGAGTACTGCATATATACACAAGAGTACTGCATATATATACTCCAGAGTACTGCATATATACACCAGAGTACTGCATATATATACCCCAGAGTACTGCATATATACACCAGAGTACTGCATATATACACCCCAGAGTACTGCATATATACACATGAGTACTGCATATATATACCCCAGAGTACTGCATATATACACCACAGTACTGCATATATACACCAGAGTACTGCATATATACACCAGAGTATTGCATATATACACCAGAGTACTGTATATATATACCCCAGAGTACTGCATATATACACCAGAGTACTGCATATATATACCCCAGAGTACTGCATATATACACCAGAGTACTGCATATATATACCCCAGAGTACTGCATATATACACCAGAGTACTGCATATATATACCCAGAGTACTGCATATATACCCCAGAGTACTGCATATATATACCCCAGAGTACTGCATATATATACCCCAGAGTACTGCATATATACACCAGAGTACTGCATATATACCCCAGAGTACTGCAAATATACCCCAGAGTACTGCATATATATACCCCAGAGTACTGCATATATACACCACAGTACTGCATATATACACCAGATAGTATATACCAGGCATATATATACACCAGAGTACTGCATATATACACCAGAGTACTGCATATATACACCAGAGTATTGCATATATACACCAGAGTACTGCATATATATACCCCAGAGTACTGCATATATATACCCCAGAGTACTGCATATATACACCAGAGTACTGCATATATACACCAGAGTATTGCATATATACACCAGAGTATTGCATATATACCCCACAGTACTGCATATATACCCCAGAGTACTGCATATATATACCCCAGAGTACTGCATATATACACAAGAGTACTGCATATATATACCCCAGAGTACTGCATATATACACCAGAGTACTGCATATATACCCCAGAGTACTGCATATATACCCCAGTGTACTGCATATACACCCCAGAGTACTGCAAATATACCGCAGAGTACTGCAAATATACCCCAGAGTACTGCAAATATACCCCAGAGTACTGCATATATATACCCCAGACTACTGCATATATACACCACAGTACTGCATATATACACCAGAGTACTGCATATATACACCAGAGTACTGCATATATACACCAGAGTACTGCATATATACACCAGAGTATTGCATATATACACCAGAGTACTGCATATATATACACCAAAGTATTGCATATATACACCAGAGTACTGCATATATATACCCCAGAGTACTGCATATATACACCAGAGTACTGCATATATACACCAGAGTACTGCATATATACCCCACAGTACTGCATATATACACCAGAGTACTGCATATATACCCCAGAGTACTGCAGTTGTAGTAGTGTGTGTACAGTCTCACCTTTATGGCCATGTTGTTGGACTCTGTGGCTCCGGACGTGAAAACGATCTCCCGAGAATCAGCCCCGATCAGGTCCGCCACCTGCTGCTCACACCCAGAATAACACCCACACAGAGTTAAACACAAGTGTGTTGTGTGGTGCAGTACCCAGTGTGCCCTCCATGTGGTGTTGTGTGATGTTGTGTGTTGTGTTGTTGTGTGATGTGTGATGTTGTGTGATGTTGTTTGGTGTTGTGTGATGTTGTGTGATGTTGTTTGGTGTTGTATGATGTTGTGTTGTGTGTTGTGTGTTGTTGTGTGTTGTGTGTGTGTGTGTGTGTGTGTGTGTGTGTGTTGGTGCCAGTTGTGTGTTGTCCATGTGGTGTTGTGTGATGTGTGTTGTGTGTGTGTGATGTTGTGTGATGTTGTGTGATGTTGTTTGGTGTTGTATGATGTTGTGTGGTTGTGTGTTGTTGTGTGTTGTTGTGTGATGTTGTGTGTTGTTGTGTGTTGTGTGTTGTTGTGTGATGTTGTGTTGTGTGTTGCAGTACCTTGCGCGCCGTCTCCATGGCGCTCTCGCTCTCCCAGCCGTACGCGTGCGTCCTGGAGTGAGGGTTTCCGTAGAAATTCACCTGATATGGCAACATGGCGTCCAACACACGAGGGTCCTGACAACGCACAACATGACACACAACATGAGAACACACAACACCCGAGGGTCCTGACAACGCACAACAGACACACAACATGAGAACACACAACACCTGTGGGTCCTGACAACGCACAACAGACACACAACACCCGAGAGTCCTGACTACGCACAACAGACACACAACATGAGAACACACAACACCCGTGGGTCCTGACAACGCACAACAGACACACAACACCCGTGGGTCCTGACAACGCACAACAGACACACAACACCCGTGGGTCCTGACAACGCACAACAGACAAGGTATTTGCAGTACCATGGGGGTTGTAGTAGTAGTAAATGCTTTTCCACCTTCAAGGCACTCAAAGCAGTTTACAACAAGGAACCACTCACCCATTCACACACCCATTCACACACCCATTCACACACCAGTGTACGCAGACACTGTGGGCAAGGTGGGTTAAGTGTCTTGCCCAAGGACACAACGACAGCATTCATCTGTGGGAGCTGGAATCACACCAGCCAACCTTTAGATCAGTGGGCGAATGCTCCACCAACTGAGCTACTGCCGCCCAGTAGTAGTAGTAGTATTTGTAGTACCATGGGGGTGGTGGTAGTAGTAGTAGTAGTAAAAGTATTGGTAGTATTTGTGGTAGTATTTGTAGTATTTGTAGTATTTGTAGTACCATGGGGGTGGTGGCCTGGAAGTCCATGTACAGAGGTCGTGGTTCATCTTTCAGATCCTGTTTCCGGATTTGATCTGAACAAAAACACAAAAACACAAAAACGTCAAAGATTAAAAAATCTAAACAAACGTGTGACATGTGACTACATACACACACACACACACACACACACACACACACACACGCACACACACGCACCCAAGCCCATACACACACACACACACACACACACACACATACACACACATACACACACACACACACAACATACACACACACACACACACATACACACACATACACACACCCAAGCCCATACACACATACACAAATACACACAATACACACACACACACACACACACACAATACACACATACACATACACCTGGTGTAGGTCTGGTCCTGGTCTTGTCTTGGTCTTGGTCCTGGTCCAGTCTAGGTCTTGATCTGGTCCTGGTTTTGGTCTTGATTTGGTCTTGGTCTGGGTCCTGGTCTGGGTCTTGATCTGGTCTTGGTCTGGTCTTGGTCCTGGTCTGGTCTTAGTCTGGGTCGTGGTCCTGGTCTTGGTCTGGGTCGTGGTCCTGGTCTTGGTCTGGGTCCTGGTCCTGGTCTTGGTCTAGGTCTGGGTCTTGGTCCTGGTCTGGGTCTTAGTCTTAGTCTTGGTCCGGTACCTTTGGGTCTGGTCCCGGTGCTGGTCGCGCGCACTCGGGTGAGGCTCGCGGGGAGCCACGAGGCGGGCTTCAGCAGGCGCGAGGACAGCATCCCGAGCTGACGTCACACAGGTGAGGGTCCGGTGCACGCGGGACACGCGCGCGCCGGGTCCGATACGCCGAAGGACCCGGAGAAAGACCGACACCGTGGACCGGGTCCGACAGAGACACCGCGGGTCCCGGGGACGCTCCGGGGACAGAGGGGCTCGGGTCTCTGGGTTCGGGTCTAGTCTCTGGTCTGGACTCAGGTCTCTGGTCTCTGGGCTCTGGTCTGGACTCAGGTCTGGTCTCGGCTCAGGTCTCAGGTCTGGACCGGACCACTGTCCCGTGTCCCGTGTCCCGTGTCTCGAGTCTGTCGCTCACAGGCGGAAGACAACAAAGCCCAAAGACGGAACTTCACAATAAAAGCGGTGACGTGACGTAAGCGCAGATACGTCCATATGCGCGCGCGCGGAGACTGTTTCAGGACGCAGAATGTTCCGGAATACTCACGCGCGTCAATGTTCGCACTTGTACCGGTGCGCGTGTCCGAAACAGCGGCGAAACCCGCACGAGCCCGCGCACGTCCACGTGACGCTCTCCGCGGACTCTTATTCTGAAGGAGCGCGCTGTGGGGGTTTCCGCTTGACGCACGCTGACGTCAGCACGCTGCGTGTTGTTGCACAAGTGGAACATCGTGGAACAAAAAAAAAAAAAGAGCCGCAAACAGAGAGTCACGATAAAGAGCCACAAATAGAGCCACAAACAGAGTCACGATAAAAAAAAGAGCCACAAACAGAGCCACAAACAGAGAGCCACGATAAAAAGAGATCGTCTTAAATAAATAAATACTTTTGAAAACGTATAAAATCTCATATTTACAGTTTATCGTTGTTCTTAACGCGTTTCACCTTCAGCGGCTCAAATAAAACTTTTATGAAAAATATATTTACTCAAAAAACTGAACTCAGCAAACTCTGACCAGACAGGGGGCGCTCTACTGTTATTATTATATCTACTGTTATTATTATATCTACTGTTATTATTATATCTACCGTTATTATATTTAATGTTTTTATAATTAATGTTATTATATATGGGTTTGGTCAAGGTGTAACGGAGGGAAACGGGGTCAGATTTTTGACATTCAAATGTCTCTTATTCAGAAACTAGAGGAACTATTGAAATAAGTAAAGTATCAGAATGTAGGAAAGAGTTACACTCCAACAGGGTCAAGTTAAACCTGTCAGATTCTTTCAAGTTCAAGACAAAAAATTTAAAAACTCATGTCGGTAACGGAGGGAATGAAATACAATAAATCCAAACAGTGATAACTCTTGGTTCTCACTTCCATATCCTGAACAAACTGGTTTGAATATTTGCTTCATATAGTTTTCTACCATATGGTACAACACAGGTGTCAAACATGTGGCCCGGGGGCCAGATCCGGCCCTCCAAGACCTTTAATGTGGCCCTTGGCTGATTTTCTACTAAAATATTTCAATTATATTTTTTATTAAAATATTTGTAATTTTACTGCACTGCTTAGCATAGTGTCTCCAGAGTCTCTGTACGTGGCCCCTCCCACCAGAGCAGAGCCTCTGTACGTGGCCCCTCCCACCAGAGTAGTGTCTCTGTACGTGGCCCCTCCCACCAGAGCAGAGCCTCTGTACGTGGCCCCTCCCACCTGAGCAGAGTCTCTGTACGTGGCCCCTCCCACCAGAGCAGCGTCTCTGTACGTGGCCCCTCCCACCAGAGCAGCACAAATGAAGACTTGTCTCTTTCCAAACGTCTTAAAGGACGATGGTTTTGACTGTTGACTGTGACCCTCATCAGAAAAATGTCCAACATGAGAAAAGTGGAGCCGAGTGCAGGATTTTACAACAAAAAATAACTTATCCCTAATTTTAAACAAGTTCATGTTCAAACTTTGTGTTGAAATTGTATTTTTCTTAAAGTTTCAGGTTGTTCATAATATTATTATATTTTGTAAAAGAAAGAGTTCATCAATTAAAAAATATCTCTGTAATAGATTTGTGTTTCTCTGCACAAATATTTGAACTTCTTGTTATTTTTGGGGTTTATATGACGTGAGTTTTCTGATCCAGACACTTTGGATCAAAGTCGGTTGGACACGACGCCCGGAACTAAATGAGTTTGACTCTCCTGTGGTACAAGATTTGGTTGAAAAACCTCTTACTTTTTGACTCATGAGATTTTTTATTAAGAAAGGTCATGGTAACGGAGGGAAAATTGTTCAAACAAGTAGAAGGTGCAGGATTTTGTATAATTAGTCGCTTTTTTCTTCTGAATACTTTAATATTACTGTTAAGGAAATCACTGGTCAGACCCAAATATGCAGAAACCAAAAGTATTTATTAACAAAAACAGTCTTGGAAAGGGGCTAGGTTCCAGGGGAGGCAGGACGGGTCCAGGTTGGCTGAACGTGTGAGGTATGTGGGGATGAGGCTGGCTCCAAACGGAAGAACTGAGGAACGGACAAAAGAAACGGGTAAGAATAAAAGTTTTCAAAATGCTCAAAAACACACAAAAAAGCCTGAGTAGTTCACCACTGGGCTGACGGGACGATGTGGCCCTGGAGAGCAGGTCAGCAGGTCAGCAGGTCAGCAGGTCAGCAGGTCAGCAGGTCTTTTATTGCAGGAGATGATTGACGTGACGAGGATCAGGAGAGGAGCTCAGCAGGTGAGTGACTGGGATCCGCCCAGGAAACACCAAATAGGGAAAGAAGAGAAGGAGCAGGATGAAACCCTCACAATTACTTCAAAATGAAAAGAAACTATTTCTATAAAATATGTCAGTCCTTCCAAGAACATTTTTATCATTTTAAATACATTTTTTTTTAATCCTGTCCCTTCATCAACAGTTCAAAGATGGAATGACACAAGATATGATGAAATACAAACATTTATTGACATGATTTGCAGGTCTTTGAAATTTGGGAAATAATTTTTGTTCCATGTTTCGTACATGGTCTGTTTAAAACGGATGGAACTTTAGAACCAAAAATTGTCCAGAAAAAAGGTCAACAGTTTGATAAACTAGAGTACATATGTATCTGTTCAATACATTTTTATATCAGATGAATTCACTTGAAGTTTTGGACTTGATGTTTACTTCTGCTTGACCAGGACCATCTAATGTTTTTATATGTAATGTTATTATAATTAATGTTATTATAGGATCAGTCCAGATGAAATCAGCCGCGCTTCCCTTTGATCCGTCTCAGATTTAGCTGAAAAAAATGTAAAAAAAATTCTAAAATCACCAAATGAAAGAATCTCAAATTTTATCTCCCTTGAGTCGTTCCTGAGTTTTGGCTCGTTGAAAATTTGGGGCCATGTTCACTTTTTCAGAAACCTTCATTTATAAACATGTTTGAGACCAAAACTTCCATGTACATTTGTTTTATTATAGATTCTAATAGAGTTTAGGGACTTTTCTAAACAATGAACCACAAATAATCTCCAACTGTTTTCACTTAGAACAAACAAACAGTGTTTAAGTTTATTAAAGGGAATTGAACTTTTCTGCAGGTGGAAAAATCCCTGAGCTCCTCCACAAACGACCCACGAGACTCATTTTTAAAAAGTGGTTTGAAATAAAGGAAGTTAATAGAAGATGTTTTTATGACTTTAAACTCATCAAAATCTGACAAAGTTTCTGTAGTCAAAATTTTATCCTCGTCTCTTTGTGTCACATGAGGAACCGAGGTCCAAAGAAGAGGCCAAAAAGATCAAACCTGGACTGAGACTCTCCACCGTCCACATGAAAACTCAGAAAACTGTGAGATTTGGGTCAGAAATGTTCATTCTGACAAATATTCAGGTTCAGTTTGTAAAGATCTGCTTGGAGGAAATTGATCTTGGACTTCAAAAACTGAAAAAAATAAAAAATAAAAAATTGAGCGGCAACTAAATGTGAGATTTTGGGGCCACAGCCACAACCTTAACAAAGACACACAATATTTGACACAGATTCAGAATCTATGACCAAGAATCTACAATAAAACACATTTTCATCTTTGATTTTGATGAAGTTCTGACATGTTTATAAATTAAAGCTTCAGAAAAAGTGAACATGGCCCCAAAATTTAAACAGAACAAAACTCAGGAACGACTCAAAGGGACTGAGAGAAAATTTGAGATTCTTTCATTTGGTGATTTTAGAAAATTTTTTGAAATTTTTTTCAGCTAAATCTGAGACGGATCAAAGACTGATTTCATCTGGACTGATCCTATAAGTAATGTTTTTATATTTAATTTTTTTATATTTAATGTTTTTATATTTAATGTTTTTATATCTAATGTTTTTATATTTAATGTTTTTATATTTAATGTTTTTATATCTAATGTTTTTATATTAATGTTTTTATATTTAATGTTTTTATATTTAATGTTTTTATATTTAATGTTTTTATATCTAATGTTTTTATATTTAATGTTTTTATATCTAATTTTATATTAATGTTTTTATTTATTTTAATGTTTTTATTATTTAATGTTTTTATATCTAATGTTTTATATTAATGTTTTTATATTTAATGTTTTATATTTAATGTTTTTTAATGTTTTTAATTTATGTTTTTTTAATGTTATTTAATGTTTTTATATTTTAATGTTTTATATTTAATGTTTTATATTTATGTTATTTATTTTTATATCTAATGTTTTTATATTTAATGTTTTTATATCTAATGTTTTTATATTTAATGTTTTTTTAACTCGTGTCTCAAAAACTACAGTGACACTAACTCAAGTTTCATCTGATAAAGTGAATGACACAAGAAAAAGAAACTTCAACAGTTTAAACTTTATTACACGATTCTGCTCTCAAGTGACACAAGTACTTATACGCTAGTAGTAAAAGTAATAGTAGTAGTAGTAGTAATAGTAGTAGTAATAGTAGTACTAGGTGTAGGTCTCTCCTCAGCATCACTACAGCTGCGCGCTCACAGCTGTGCGCGTGCCCGCAGAAGAGGTGTCCTCGTGAACGCGCTCGTGCATGCGGATTTGAAAAGAGAGAAAGAAAAACCACACCTCCATCAGAACCAGGACAGGACCGGGAATACGAACAGAACCGACCCGCCACACCTGCACCGCTGCCCGGCTACGAGCTGCGAGAGGAGCCGCTCTTTGTCCGGAGCTCCAGGACTGTCCAGCGGGAAACAGAACAACTGTCCCCGCCTCAGCAGCATCCCATCCCGGGCACAGCAGAGAGGAGCCGCTCTGTCAGGTGGAACCGCTGCTCCGGGACTTTTACACCGACAAGACAAAGCGGTTCTGTCCGCCTCGTCCGCCTCCAAACCCGGACTCCGCGGAGCGAGGAGTCGGTGTGCGCGCGGAACACCTGTTTTCAGCCCGCAGACAGAGTGGAGCAGCCC